TACGCTATATATATATATATATATATATATACTGGGAATATTTTGTAGGCAATAGGTTTTAACTTCTAAGACTTTTTTTTCCCAGGAAGGCCCTACAGTTTTCTCCATCCTACATTAGGTTGATCCGTATGTGACAAAACAAGAGGGAATCCTCAATAGCTGCAGCACTTGAAATTATTTTAAGGCAGAATTAGAGTAAATTAATGTATGAGACTTTTTTCTTTTTTATTAGCTATATTTTAGTGCGCCGGCAATACCAAGCGTGGGGTGCACATATACCTGATTTTATTTTATTACTCATCATGATTTTTACCAACATACCTTCAAATTGAAATTCTTTTAGGCATGATTAGAGTAAATTAATCTATGATACCTCGAAAATGGTTAAATATATCAATCGAAAGGGTTTGACCTCCTGAGTCCAAAACTGTAATTAGATTTCAAATTGGTCAAGAGATGATGGAGCTATGAGCTAAAAAATTGTACCTGAAAAATCACAAGAACAAAAACATAGAGCCAGTCTATGAGCTGCTATGCTGCAGCTAAACATTTCAGAGTAGAAAATAAGATTACTTCAGTCAAACCATGAGAATAAATCATAAATTTTCATTACATGTTTCATGCAAACAAAATCCTGATAAACTGCTGGACTAGAAGTAGCATGTAGCTTAAACCCTATATTGTCTAATCAGTGATAATACATTCATACCATGCCTTTGAACATGTGCACTGTGAATGTATTTAAATATGAAATTCAGAAATTAAAACTTACATAATATTATAATTTGAATTATAAACTACATTTTAATGCCAGGTTTGTTGACATACATTGAAAATAAAGTTGGGTAAATAAATTCTGAATATAACTCTATAAAACATAGTTTTATCCACCCATATCCCGAGGGTTAAACCCATTGCCACGATAAATTGACCTACAGTTCCATTTCCAACAAAAGCTGATGAGGATTTAGAGAAGGAAGATTCACAAATTGCAGTGGGAGAAACAAATAACAGCATTCGCTTCAGGGAAGAAAACAGTGGGACCAGGTCATCATCAACAAGCCCAGCAAGAGCAAATATTAATGCAATTGATAAGCCTACTAATGTTGGTGCAGATGTCTGCCAATACAGCTGGCTCCTAATCAGCCCAAAGGCCTATTTCCAGTAACAAATAAAAGAACATTTTAAAAAGAGTTGGTATAAGCTCTTCATGTGGTTGGAGTATGATGTCAGCAAAGATGCTGCATTTTGTTTGTTTTTTGTCATAAGTTCTTTGACCAGGTTATTAAGACAGCTGCCAAAGATGATTAAACCTTTCTCAAAAATGGCTTTAATTGTGGCATAAATCAACTGAAATGATGCGAGTTCATCAGAAAACCCAGGCCCATAAAGATGCACTTAACAAGTTTTAATATATGGTTTCTAATGAAAACATTCTAGGCCAGCTTTGTGTCCACCACGAAACAGAGGCAGTTGGCAACAAAATGCTTTACTGAAATCTTTGCAACTCTTCAATATTTAGTTAGACAAGACATTGTCATCCGTGGACATGACAATGATGATTCTAACTTCAAGCAGCTGCTGAAACTAAGGACAATAGGTAATCCTTATTTGTCCAACTAGATGGATGGAAAATAGCTTGGAGCCAAAATTACTGCTAGAGGATTCTTTGCCATACTCGCTGGTAAGACTGCTTACACCTCACATACCAAGCAGCTATGCATTGCTATATAAACATTGACAATCACAATGCAGGCATAAAAGATGGTGCATGGACCATATGCCATTGAGATGCAGAAATCATCTCAAACATTCTTCTTGATGTCCTGAAAAGGTTTAATCTAAATGTACACAATATCAGAGTGCACTGTTATAATAGGGCTGCAGCTATGAGTGGACAACTAACTGGAGTTGCTGAAAGTTTGTACCAGATTGAAAGTTGGGCTGTGCACACCTATTGCCAGATGCATTCTTAAACTTAGTCATACAAGACTGCATATTGGAAGTGCCTATGCTATGAGACTTTTTGGTTCTTGTACAAGAATTGGTTTTATATCTGCAAGACTCTCCAAAACAATATAACACGATATAGTTACTTGCAACCAATACTTGCTCTCTTTATCAAATAAGGTTTACCATAAAATTTCAAGCTTTGGACAGCCTGCTAAGATTGATCACTTCAATTTTGTCTGCACTGTAAGTGGATTTCAGCAGCATTTGAATAACTTTTGATTTCTACTTTGTCTTGTTTTCTCTCTAACAATGTCTTTGAAGTTAACAGCAACTACAAATTTCAGCTGTGTAATTTCACAAAGGCAAGCATAGATAAGATGCGACTAGATGGAGGCCCTAGTTACTGGTTCCTTGAGCCAAACGACTACTATCAGTTGATTTTCTTTCATGTAATTGAGTGCATCAGTGGATGCTTAAGAAGAAGGCTGCAAGATAAAGCACTTAAGCATGTTGTCATCAAATGAGCATCTTTTCTCCACTGTCTGGGATGATAGAGATACACCTGAAGCTGATCACCACGACATCATTAAGAACAGGCAGCATGCACAACTGGCTTTATTGGAAAACCTACAAGGACAGGATGATTCCTTTGATGCTAATGTGTAACATATAATAAAAACATTTGGATCAAGACCACTTTATACAACAATGTCACAGAAAAGACTGAACCATCTTTTTTATACTGAGGACATACAAGGAAGAAGTAGACAAGTTTAACATTTCAGGTAGTAAGATAATTTATTTGTGAAAATGAGCTGAGAAGGTGTATTTCTCTACTGGTGTGCCTGGTAAGGTTTTGCTAAGCCTGTGTAAACCAAACAAGACATTATACAGCTCAAACTTCTAACAAAACATTTTTGCTTATTTGGAGTATCTCTAAAATTTGATTCATATGAACATTAGTGAGGTTTGTTGAAAATTTTTCAGAGTGACTTACTGCAATAGCCAATAGGCCTACAGTCTGGCCAAAAAGTAGCTGTGAGATGGTCATGGTGAAGCAAATTTAGCTTAAATGTGTGCAGTTTAAACTCATAACAAGATATTTTTGCCTCTTGAAGTAAGATCTATTAATCACTCATTTGAATTTTGAAACTTTTCTCAATTTGCTTGGAACTGCTGTACTTGAAATATGTATTCAATCTTTTATTGCTCAAGTTTAAAGTTTAAACCTGTGCAACTTAAAGAAGTGCACAAATAATAAGGGAAATGGAATACTGCAAGGTGGGATGAAGCAAATGCAGTGTAATGGTAAAGGAGATGTCATAGTTCTGCACCTCCAATGATTTGGAGCAATCAACGGTTACATGATTACAAGCTGTAACAAACGACCGAAATTAGTTTGATTACTATTTGGTCTTATGTACATGATTTCTATGATTAATTAGGATCAAAGTACTATAGCTTCAGTTTGGTTTAAATATATCAAAGAAAGATTCAAATGTATAACCACATAAGTTGCCTCACACAGCTTTGTATATACATATGTACATACATATATACACAAACAATCGCAAACCAAACATATCAGTGATGCTCATATCCTCAACCTAGGTCTCACACCTCCATTACTTCATGAAGCTTCTTGGAGAAAACTTACTGAATATCATTTCAAAAAATTGCCCCATGTTTATTAAAAATGTCATATAAAAGATGCAAATTCATTTACAAGAAAAGAAGAAGAATGACCAATCTTGCATTAGAATACACACATGTCTGTACCTCAGGTGACCTTCCAAAAAACATTTAGTGAAAACTATATAACAAGTCTCAAATGTTTGGTAATATTACTTGAGAGACAATTAGGAAGAAAAATGTCATGACACAAGAAGGCTACTTGCTTCTCACAAATGTCTAGTGAGTGTGTGTGCAACAGTCTATTATTCCTGAAGACTTAAATTAATTTCTTCAGAAATGTTCGAAAGGTCAGTTGTGCAAAATGACTGCAGATTTGGTGCAAATTGTTGAAGTTAGGACAAAATGCCCTCTATTTGAAGATAATTCATACAAAGTTAGGTTCATTTCCCTTAAATTACAGAAAAACTTTGCCATGCTTCCAAAAAAATAAATAAAAAAATGGTACATCAATTCACATAGGGAAAATGTAAATGACTACTTTTTGAAGTGTGTATGTCTGATTTTTAGATAACCTTTCTAAAAGTTTGTCAATAATAAAAAAATAAGCCAATAGAATGGTTAATTATGAATTTACAAACCAATAAGTATTTACTAAGAAGGTAAAAAAAAAGGACAATTATAAGAAGTTTGAATAATTCAGGCATGTAAGGTTTTATAGGGCCATGATTCTTTACAGTAGGTGTCTGTGACTTGTTGGCAATAAATTTCAACAATAAACGGACAGTACACAATCCACTTGTTTTAAAATAATATATTCAAAACAAGTCAAATGTATGTACAAAAATTTGTTACCCTATTGGTTATAACAGTTGTATCCAAAACCTTAAATAATTGTCTCCTTTTCATCAGAGTCTATACAGACGAGTTCAATTACTTTAGAACACCCTTTGACAAGACAAATTATTCTTCTCTACTCTGTTATTGCAATACAATCTGTGATTATTACACTTTAAAAGTTGCTAGTATACACTCTTTATGGCTAAACTTACTAACACAGTCCAGATTTATTTGACTGTATCTCTCACTAACTTTGTCTTACTTTACTAACTTCACTTGTACTAACTTGGTCATCTCTCTCTCTCTCTCTATATATATATATATATTGACCAACTGAGGCCTAAAATTTTCTGCAAACATTATGATGTAACAATGCTCACTTAAAGCAATGAGAAAAATTCAGAAGGATTGAATAACATGATGTCACAATAATAGAACTACACACATGATTTGTAAACAGTTACATAAGCAAACCTGCAATAAATTATTGCTTCTGAAAATAGTAAATTTAATACTTGCACTTTATAACTATCTAAATCATTTCAATTAAACAGTCGTGTATATCTAACAAGGCACGGGCACATGATCTAGTTTGGAATTTACAAAAAACACATAAAAAGAACTAGTCAATTTTAGAAATAAGGTTTGCTAATTTGATACTTAAAACAACCAAAATTGTGTAAAACAGGACGGTTTACGTAATATATGAGCTGTCACATATTAACAAATATAACCAACTGGTGAATTCTGAAGTTTCAGTAAGATGCTTACACTACAAAAGAAACTTCAAATGTTTATTTAAAATCAAGCATAGCTGGAAAAACAGAATAATACCCTAAACCTTCTTAAGAATGAAACTTTCTGTAATTTACCAAACTTTATAACTTACTCAGAGAAGGTAGATTCATTTTGTAAATAAACAAAATTTATGTTGTCAGTTTGGGCCTGACCCAATGTAAAATCTGGTTAAGTTGATAGTTTTAGTAATACACAAAGCTCTTTTATCAATATAAAAGTTTCTAACAGAAACTTTTTATGTGAAAAAGCCCAATAAGTGATGAGAAAATCCAATACCTGGGCTTGAACCCAGGACTTCTGGCTAATAGGTCCATTGCGTTACCACCGAGTTAAGAGTTCAAGGCATTCCTGTCTATTTTCACCCATAAGACTTTTTTTACTGTGAGATGATAACCATACTAAGTGGTGCTGTTGTGGTGAAGCAACTAGTCGGTTGATTTATTACCATACAACCAAATATACAAGTCTATCAGAGATTTACATTTATTTGTATTACTATTAGTTTAAATCCTACTATGAATCAACAAAAGAAAATTTTCTATGATAAACTTTTACATTATCGACTTTTCACATAAACAGTTTGTTAGAATGTTTCCTTTTATTATTTTTAATGGGATTAAAGTAAGTAAGGCAAATGAAAAGTTATAAAATGTCATTACACATAGCTATATAATAACAGAATTGAACAAAGTTGTCCAAACTTCTTTTTATAGGTTTACAAATCAGTCAACTTACTTAATTTCAGTAGCAGCTAATGCAAGAGGAGGGGCAGAAGGATGGCGTTTCCGTTCTGCTGTTTCATCTGACTGGTTAATGTCTACCAAAAGAGCCATAGTGTCATCTGTTGGAGCCAAGGGACTTGAAACCTATGCAGAGAGAAACTTGTCATTTGTATTGAATATGTTTTTGTTTTACAAGTGTTGTATATATTTTTAAAGCATTACCTCTCTCTTACAGCACAAATGTGACTGAAAATCAGAATAAGAATACAAGTAATATTTTCAATTCCCTATTGACTAATACATTATTAGAATTTCAAAATATTTTGTTCTAAGCCTGTTCTCACTACCACAATTCATCAACTGTCTTATCATAACAGTTTTAATCTAGGGTTCATGTTTTTCAGCTTCAGTTTTATATATCATGTAATATACCTGATTACAATAATTAAAACAGAGGATGTTATTGCTAGTTGGTTTGATGGCCACAATACTGATAAAAAACTAAGTTAACTGTAACATATAATGAATAAAGTCTAGTTGAAATGCCATTAATACACATTTTGTAGTTTGAGCTTTAAAAAAATCATTCGCAATTTTACAATACTGTTTCTTCCCATTTTATACTATTGGAACACATCAAATTCGTTAGATACTGCTTGGATGCAATTTGTCACGGTATTGATCAGTTTATGAATAACACCTCAGGGCAGGTTGTGGTATATATGGAAGAATGTGGTCCTCAACTGAGAGGCAGTGGATGTGCTTTCATTAGCTCTCTGTCCAGATGTTCCCATATTTGTTCTGTGGGGGGTTCATATTACGGCTCTGTGGAACCACAGCACAAGTTTAATACCTATGATAAACAACATTGTTTATTTATAACAGAAGGGGACACAGATAAACGTTTTGGAATTCTACAGATTCCATCTTCAGTATCTAAAGCAAAATAAAAGAATTACATAATTTCTAAGTAAATAGCTACAACATGTTGTTGCAATAATGATAATTTACTCAGAACTAAAACACATAGAAAGTGAAGGAATGACAAACAAAAATACTGTACAGATTAAAAAACTTGCAATTTAAAAGAAGACTGCATGTTATTCAGTGTTGGTGAAAGTTGTTTGATATGAAGAGTTTCTTTATTCAGTAATTCCAGATAAGTGTTGACCTTGTAAAGGATATTGAAATTTGATACCCCGTTTCTTAAACCCATATCATGCATATAGGATTTTTTCCGTACTAAAGACTTTCTCCCAATTTCTCTTTGTTCATGGCTTGTACATCTTTACACACGTGGAGACTGTAATGCCTTCTATACTGTCAAAACCAAATGCCATCTACTAGTTAGACCCAATAAACATACGAGTAACCCCTGCACTTCCTCTATACACCAACATAGTGAAAAAACAGGATACATACTTAAATTATCAAATTTCAACATCCTTTACAAGGTCAACACTGATCTGGAATTACTGAGAAAAGAAACTCTCCAATCAAACAACTTTCACCAGCACTGAATAACAATGCAGTTTTCTTTAAATTGCACAAGTTGTTTAATATGTACTGTATTTTTGTTTATTACTCCTTCACATTATATGTGTTTTTGTTCTGAGTAAATTATCATTATTGCAACAATGTATTGGAGCTACTTACTTAGGAATGATGTAATTCTTTTATTTTGCTTTAGATACTGAAGATGGAATCTGTAGAATTCCAAAATCTTTATCCGTGTCCCCTTCTGTAATAAATAAACAATGTTGTTTATCTTAAGTATCATTATCCTTTTTATTGTGAAACTTCGTTTTCCTCCAAACACATCAATCGCTAAAGTTTAATACCTTTTTCACTCTTCCACATTATCAATTTGGCTGTGTGGTAAGTGGCACCATCTTCCTGAGATGTATGGACGTGAGACTGTAAAACATCTCGATGGAAGAGCAGTAGGAAGTGGTTCTGTAAAATAGCAATGCAACCCGTAACATTTAAATGGCTATCAGTGAAAACAGGTCTGTTTTATTACAAATACCAAATGGCTGCCCACACCATGATACTGACACCACCATGTTTGACTGTTCTCTGCAAACATGATTGTTGGAATTCATTGCCTGCCTTTCTCCACAGCCATACATATCTGCTAGAGCTAGCTAAATTGCTGAAATTGGGACTACTGTCTTCCTGAACTCTACAGGATGGTGGAAGATTTCAGTAGCCCACAAAAATTGTCAACTTACATGTGAGATGTAATCAACAAAGGTTTTCTCCTAGCTATACACACATTCAGTATCTAAAAAACAAGGTGTAATGCTCTGTGTAAAGTAATAAAAAATACTAGTACATTATGCAACTTCAACTTATATGCTTTCCTATTTATTGTGTGTTTTATATCATTAATAAATTCACTATCTAGTCGTCATTATCTGTTCGTTGTGACTTTTGCATGTGTATCACTCGTGTTTTCATAAATAATATGTATATATATATATATTATTTACCATTAACGTACTTGTATGATCAATGTAAATTATGTAATAGCGAAATGAGCACGGTTGCATTTTTTATTTAATAAATTTACTATTTGGCAAAAAAAAACTCATTGTTGAAAAACCAAATAGCATTTATAAAATGACTGATTTACATTTTTACCTTAGTATAATATTACAGTCAAAATAAAATAAAACACATTTGATTGTTCAAATTACAGATTTGTGAGTTTATGTATTTCTCTTGAATGATTAGATTTAAATTAAGCCCATTCCCACATTTTAAACTAACAGAACATGAAAATACAGCTCTTTTGAAACACATTTTCAAATAATTAATAAAAAAAAAGCAATAACAAAACCATTTTACATTTAAGTATAAAAAAACAACAACAAATTTTAAGCTATTAAAATATGTTGCAATCTTGGCTCCCATGGTTTAAAGTTCAGATTCTGAGATACTAAAATTACTTTCAATAGGTACCCAGTAGTGAACAAAAAGAATTTGCTTAAGTAGAAATTCTTTCTGAATCAATCAATAGCAATTGATGAAATTCTCTGAGTACACATAATGTTTCTCTTACTATATAGTGTTTAATCGGGTTAATATACAAACGTAAACATAATATTTTCCAACTTTTGATTAAAGGTAGTCATTACACTAGAACTACACAACAGTTAATGGGTGGTAGTGGTTGTTCATTTTTAAGCACAATGCTACACAATGGGCTATCTGCACCCTGTCCACTGTGGGGAATCAAACCCTGGATTTTAGCCTTGTAAACTTACTGCTAGTCCATGAGGGGGTAAAACGTGGTGGAAGATTGCAAATGACTTCCAATAAACCTTTGGTAAAATCTTTATGACAAACTCAGGTAAAATATACATAATATGAGTAACAGAAAAATACAAGCTCAGGGATTTTTAAAAATTTATATTACCTCTTATTATTCAGAGATTTCTTAGCTTCACAACTGACATAGATTTGCTGTACAAGTAAAAAAAGTGACAATAGCTACTTAAGAAAATTTTCACCTAATACAAAAGGTTGACTGTGACAATCACGTTACTGAAGATTTCCAGCATCAACCGAAAAACTTTCCCAGAGGGGGGAAAAGATATAAGTTTGAACAAATTTTACATGAGAGTTCACTTCAGAAGTACAACAGAAGGTGGATCCTGCAAATTCTGATGGCTGAAGATGTACTATTGAGTTACAAATAGTGAGTGATTCAAATATACAGTAAAACTAAATTTAAAATGTTAAAAAACAAGTACATAATCTGAGTAACTACTTACAATTTCTGCTGATGCACTGGACACAATGTCTCCTGTGGCTGAAATAAGAAACACACATATAATAATATGCAACAGTCAACTAAGCTAATTATAAACTATGCTTTGTATGCTCGTAGCTACAGAGAAATTAAAAACAAGAAACTTAATCTTACTTTTCAGTCTCCCTAACTACTACTGAATTAAATTACAAGAGCAAACATAAACAATTTCCCTCTTCTTACTACGAGAGAAGTGACACGTTGCATATTTACTGTCATGTGCATAAAGAAAATGATTAACCTACTCTAGGACATTTCCAAACTATAAATCAAACCACCAGTGAATATGAACAACAAATCAAGGAAACATTCATAATCCCTGAACTTAAAACCTGAATCATATTCAAATGAATATGTAAAGAATCTTCACGTATAAGCCAAATTAAATTTTGTCCAATGAACTTGAAAAACAAACAAACAAAAAAACAACAACAGAAATTCGAAAAAAAAAGTTCTTTGTGTGCTTTGGAATTTATTTCATTTTAAGTTCCAAAATTTCAGAGCATCCAAAACAATCATACATAATTTTTATTGTACAGATGCTTCCAAAGGCTTTCCAGTGTTTTGTATACAACTTAAAACATAAAAAACACTTGTCTGCAACTATAGGAGCTGTAATTTTGCTGATCTTTTAACTAAACCTAATTTGAAAACTTCAGTTTTTAAAACTTATCATAACTCTCTTTAAAAACTTCATTAATTTCTCTTTTTAATGTTAAGAACAAGACTGTAAAATGAGCTATCTATGCTGTACTCACTGCAGGGATTGAACCTCAAATTTAGCATTATAAGTCTTCAAACTTACTGTTGAGCCATCTGGAGATAACATCATTGATTTAGTTTTTTTTTTTTTCCAACTTGTATTCATGTCTTTCAGCTATGTTTCACTCAAATATAAAAAATATGAAGAACTTGTAAACAAAAACAACTTTGGTGAACCATGTCCATTTAGATCACATTCACCAGATGTTGACTTTGAGTTTCAAGCGCCACTCAGGATACTTGGGGTACCATATTTGAAACTATGTTCATACCCTCATCCATAAACACAAATTGATTATTTTCTTCACATTAAATGATTTAACTGTAGTTTCAATTTACAGATTACTTGATGTGACACAAATCCATGTAATCGATATTCATAGGAAGTCCATCATACGGACTAATCACCCAGCTCTTGGTCAAGACCAACAGTAGCACAAATAATGACGTTTTTGACATCAAAGAAACCTTCCTATTTTTTCTGTATGAATCCCATTCTAACCATTAACCATAATGCTTTGCCTGTCTTAAGAATTCCTTTTTTTTTTTCCTATGGTATACTTATCTTTTGATACATTTAGTAATTCTTTACCAAATACAATTTTAGAAAATGGGTCCACTGTACCTACTTTGAAAGAAATGAGTTCAAATGGAAAAAAACAAAACAAAATTCTTATCCTATTTTTACTTGCAAATACAATATATTAGTTCCACTTACTAAAAGCCAATACCACTACTAATGCAAAATTCTGCTTTTTTTTTTAAAAGAAAGTTATCAAAGAAGTGTGTTTATTTACAATATAAATTACACACGATGGAATATTTGTACACATATATTTTTGCTAGCAAATCAATGTCAGTGTTTACTTCTTCAATGTCTTCTGAACCAAAATACAGTTTGATAACTTCATATATGTAGTTACTACTATAATTATATTTTTGAAGCATTTTTTAATAAAATTCAAACATTTTTGCAGCACACAAGCTATATAACTTATTTTAATTTCATTGTGTTGCTACAGAATAAAAGCTTTCTAAATAAATATGTGTATTTTACAAATGTCTTGGTTATTTAGTTTATTTAATACATTTTTTTAAATTTAGATTTTTACTAAACTTACGTCACTACGATTGACATTTTCCTTACTTATTTACTTTCATTTGTCTACTTACACCTTTGGTATCTCACACTTTGTATATATTAAAACATTTTACTGATATTCTATAAAACCATAATCCTATTAATATACAGAGATTCATAGCAAATCCCCTAATAAAGAAATTAAGCACAGTAATTCTGTTATATTTCACGTGACTTCTTCAAAAACTTTTTATGTGACAGATAAATTGATAATGGATGGTAAATAAATGAAAATTTCTAAAACTGCACTGATTCAGAGATAATGTAAATAATAATATAAGGATTTACAGTGAACTCCTTCCAATTACAGATATGCAATAGAGTACCATATCATTATATATAATAATATAAGGATTTACAGTGAACTCCTTCCAATTACAGATATGCAATAGAGTACCATATCATTATCTACCTTCCATAGATATGGTAGTAATTTCTAACAGCATCATAATGAAAAGGTTTTGTTTTCCTTTATTTGAAATATTGCTGTGACTACTCCGGATATTTTTTATTAAAATTTCTGTATGTTCAATACTTCACACATTCCTGCAAAAAACAAGCTATGAAATGCTTAGCTCTGTTTTACCAAAACATTTAAAAAATCTCTCTTAAGAATTAATACACTGCTTCCTGAACAACATTATCCACTGAACTTATGCCACACGAAACAAAAAAAGTAAATTAAAACTAAAAGTTTTGTTACTTACTTGACTCAGGAGTTTTCTTATAAACTTCAAAAGCACCTGACTAAAACATAAAACAAAAATATGCTGGTTGTAACACAAGTTATTCAAATAGGCTTCCTATTATGAAAGAAACTGAGAATATAAACATCTGTGAAAACCAGAGAATGTGTTTACCAAGTTAGTGCAGATACTCTTCAAAAACATCACTTTACTTGTAATCTTAATAAGAATCAATCAACACACACACACGCTAATTTCTTGACTCCATCATATATTACAATCAAGATATTTTATAAATAAAATCAAATTAAGAATGTTTATGGGAACTGCAGAACTCACCCATGGCAAATAATATTTTCTTTTCCTGCGAGAGTTGAGTATTTATTTCCAATTTGGAATGATTTTGAATTAATGCAATATGTCAATGCCTAATTACCGAGTAAGCAGGACAAACCTGTTGAAGTTCATATATTACACTATTTTCACAAGAAACAGCACTAGCCGACATCTTTGCTTCATTTATTTTTACTTTAACTTTTTTTTGTATCACTTTGTACGTAGATGCTAAGCATACCTTCACCGAAACATGGTTTACATGAGTTGTGACTTCCGTTCTTGTTTCCACAAACTGTGAGAAATCTGCAAATTCTTCATTATCACCTAAATTAGTGTGATTATCATCCTGAGATCCAACTTTCCTTGGGGCTGCCTATACCAGAGTTTATTATGAGTTTATCTGATTAAAATCACTACATATGACAAAAGATAGTCTTAATACTGATTTAAAGCTACTAACTGAACCTAAAAGAAAATGCTATAAATGCTAAAAGAAAAGTTGACTATATTGAAGATCAGTGTTCTTCAGTTGATTTAATTAGAAAATGTACAGTTAAAAGAAACTATGAGTTAATTTTGCATTACGTCTTAAAGGTCAATGTTGTAGCAGAACAAAAATTTAAACTATGCTTTTCTCTGATTAAATAATAATTAGAAACGTTAAAATAGACAATTATCAAATTATCACTATTAATATACAGATATGTTAAATATACAAGAAGACTCAAAGTATATTTTGAACTTACTGTACTAGGAGATGCTCTTGGGGGAACTGCAGGAGGAACACCCAGAATGTGTGGCATTGTCTTTCCTGATAAGAATACAAGGTTTTTGTCTGATTCATAACTCAAAAAAGTTATCACCTCCATTGAAAATCTATATTACTAATACAAAAATATGCATCATCAATCTCCTCCCATTATAAAAAAGATTAAGTGATCAAATAAAACTATGATACGTTTAATTAAAACTTTTTTTTAGTTGCCTTACACAACATACTAGAAAACAAACTCAACTATTTACAATTTAACAATGCAAGTTGATAAAGCTATTCCTATCTTGCATCCTATATAAATTTGAAAAAGCTGACTTTATTATAAAAAGAAAGAAAAACTAATAAATAAGAAGTTAAGACTAACTTTCTTTGTAAGTGAAAAAACGATAGTATTATTAGTATTACAAAAGTAAAGATGATACCATTTTTTTAAAGTCTTAACCGGTGAACAGACTACTGAACTCAAATTAAAACAAAAATGTAACCTATACTTCCATAAAAAACTTCCAGTTATACCTCTACCTGACCATTTATGGTGTAAGGCTCCTAAGAAGGCTAATAGTTGAAATATTCAGCAATTATTTTTTTTTCCTGGAGATATTGGTTGTGTTTTTGTTTAAATATGATACTGTGGTATGTAGGCATACCATGTTCCCCTACTGTCTATAGTAATATAGTATTATTTATTCCAAATTGTTAATCAGTTCTGCTCTGTCATGGCAACAATACATGGTCCAGGGTCCATTATCTTATTCTAATAACTTTAGCCTAATGTTCTTTTATTCGATGATGTGTCTTCTGCCTGCAAGGATATCTCAGTGTGTATTTTGAGGCCGGTTAAACTAGTGAAAACTGGAATATTCTTTGCTGTCCAAACTATGATGTCAACTTAATCTGATAGCTCATGTTGTCAGGAAAAAAAAAGGTCAAGAGGTGACACTCTGTTGGACAAAGAAAGCATGTGATCTTTGAAATCCAAGCAAACTTTCTTTATCCAGTTCTTTCCTAGTTCCATTTTTAGTGAAGATCTGCTTTTCTACTGTTTGTGTTTGGTGTTGAAGTCTTCCCTCATGAGAGAAAAAAAAACTCTGACACAAAACAATGACTAGAAAGGAAGTACACACCATGAGGTTTGCCTTTTTTGTTTATTTGTCTAAATTCTGTCCAGCTTATTAATTCTTACATTAAAAAGAACACTTAGTCGAAATATCTCTCATTTGCAACTCTTGTAAATTTCCTCGAAGAACTCTGCTGTTGTTGCAGAGAATTCTACTTAATACTTGTTGGAAAATAAGATTTAGTTAAAAATATCTCAATACCATTTTCTCAAATTAGTCATAATACTATATGAAAATCACACATAGATTAACTAAAAACAACCAAATTACCGATAGATGCATTGATAACTTCTTGAAACAAACATCTGAAAAAATAAATCAATAAGGCAGAATTTGAAGAGTGTGCCATCACGACTCAATTACAAGGATTTACCACCAACACAGTTTGAAATCAAGGGATAATATATTTTGTAGTTTGTATATTTTGAATCCATTTTCCTATTAAACAAAGTCCAATTTGCAAACAGGATTAACTTTTGAAAACCTATACATGAAAAAGTAAATAATCTTTAATAGGGATAAAATTTCAAAATGATTATTTATTTAGAATTATGTAAGAGAAGATGTGCAAGAAATGCAAGTGATATAAATGTAGAAAAAATGAATTATTTACAAGTTCAAAAGGAAATTGTGAAACAAGATAAGAGATGGCTAGCAAGTTTATAGTCTATACTGAAAAGACAAAGTACACTGGTTCTTCTTCACTTCAGAGTTAATAAGGTTCACAGAAACACTTGAAAAGGTAATATGTAAATTCTTTATCCCACAGATATTCTTAAAATTTGCAAAAAATACTCAAACAAAATAAACAGTCCATGTAATATTTATGCCATTATAACCTATTTAATGTCATGATTTTGAAATTTTGATACTAAGTGTTGTTTCACTGATTATTTGGGCTTATTTATAGCTATAGGTATAATGATATCAAGATCATTCTAATTTGAAAAATTTGAACAAAATCTATTCATTTTTTCATGATGTTAGTTAAGTGTAGATTGCATTACATAGTTAAAAAAACAGCAATTTGCTCACCAAACTTATTCAGGTCTAAGGATGAACTGCGAGCATGATTGCTGCGGGGCCGAGGTGGAGGAGGTGGTGGTGGTTCTTTTTTGGGTCCCTGTGGAAGTAAAGGTGGGCCTTGACTGGTTCCCTGGCTCGTAGTACCGGAGAATGAACTGTTAGTAAATAGCATGTTAGTTAAGATGCTAAAATTATAGCCCAATGTTTTTTTCAAGTGTAAATGCAACTAAAAAATATCCATATCATTAAAATATCCTGTATAAAAAAGTGTGAATACTTTTAAGTTTTATATGCTTATATAATTTGTTTTTCCATACCAAATAGACTTTTAAGCCACTGAATTTGAAATATACTGTTCACCTGGAAAATACTGCTACGTGTTGAACTAATTACTTGTTAAAATATATTCAGAAGATTGCTCTTTTTTACTTTTAAAGTTAGTTTTCAGTCTTACATCTTGGTATTGAAACTACAGATGAATTTATACATGCTTGGTTTATTTAAGAAAATTACTGTCCTTCAAGAAAAAAATACCAGATTTAACAACTTCTGCAGAAAAATAGTAAATAACTGATAGTAATACAACATGGCATACTGCCAACTAAATATATTTGTATCAGGAAAAATAAAAACAAAAAATGTTATGGATGATGCAAAAACTTGTTTAAACAATTAAATATTTTACCAAGATAAAAAGTACTTCACAAGACATAATCTGAAATACCCAAACAGATTTAAATAACATAATTAACTGCTTGGAATGCTTTTCAAGCACTACATATAAACATTTTCAAAAATAATTGATAAATTCTTTGCACTTTACGCTGTGCACAAAACTTTGTAATATATCTATGTTACAAAGATTACTTTGTACTATGCAAGACTGGTCCACTATTAAAGAACTCACAATGGAAAAGTATTTTTCGTAAATGTTCTGGTGTTAACTACTGAGAGATGTATTTAACAATAACCAGCAAGAAGATCATGAACAAGAAACTTGATCTCTAAAGGAAAACAGCATTACTGAACAAAGTTATTTTTCTTCTTAATCTAAAAAAGGTGCAACTAGATGAAACTTAATGTACTGAAAAGATAGAACTATGGTTCTAAAAATAACGAAATAAAACAACAACAAAGCTTGCATGTATTTATATTATGAAAGAGGAAAAAAAAATGTAATTAATATCTTTCATAACACTTCCTTTTCCAAAGGCGTTAAATAACTTATAGCCAATTATTAAAAACAATGCTCATTTAAACTTTTGCAACATCACTAAGAGAATTAGTGAGCAATGTAATATGTTATTTGTGGACTATATACAGTTGAACAAAATATTTATATTGAGATAAGGATCTGAACATTGTTATGTTGAGTCTATTAACAAAAAAAACTAAGACATTTTGAAAAGAAGGACAGAAGTTTTAGTTGTTACCTGTTGTAAATTTGTATTGGAAGCAGGTACGATTTAAAAAAAAGAATGTTATTTAATAAAAGGGTATCTGTTGAAAATGCTACACAATTACACTGTTGTCACAAGGCTTCATTCTACATGCACATACTAGATTCCCTTAAATTATTTACAAACTCAGCAAGCACTAAAAGCAAGGCAAAACACTAAAATTTACATCAAATTCATTCACTTTATTAAGAAGTCATGTTCAATTATCTGGAAGATGCCCTTACCTTCGTCTAAGTTCCCAAGACAGTGCAAGTTAAAAAAAAAAAGTAAAGAAAATAACTACAAAATTTTCATGAATGCTAAGCATGATACTTTTAACTCAAGCAAGCTCAAGTCAAAATGAATTACATAATTACAGAAGCTGTAATACTACTGCTTGGCGTGAATGATGCCATTAGCTCAATATGGCAAAGACAAAAACAATAATAATAAAAGAAAGAAAAATCAACATTTGCCATGAAACCTTAACTCAATTTACCATGAATGAAAGTTATCAATACAGCTAACTGTTTTAACTCAAAACTGCTACTTACATTTGTCATTAATACTCAGCCTTATTTTTTTTTATTCTGGCACATTATACTCAATAAGTTGGAACACCCACACACACATTAAGATTTATGTAACTCAATAAGTGACCAATATTATTTTGAAAATTTAAAAATATTTTTTATGACCATCACACTCCACTTTTTTTGTGTGACTCAATTATTCTGTGGAATAAAGCCATTAAAAGGACAGCATTTTTACATAAAATTTTCATAAAACCACTGATTTAGGAACTATTACTCCAACTTAAACTTTTTTTACGGATGTCAACTGCCTACACAGTGGAACATTACCATGTTTTGACTTACTACTTTTGCCTTCTACCAACCACACAAATGAAATTTCAAAGTCCTAACAATTTTAACATAAACTTTACAATGTGCCTGTTATTAATAATCTAAGACATCATATTAGATGACATTTTTTTTTAAATTGGTAACTTTCCTTGCACTATATAATTCTGTTTCTGTTCATTACAATAAAATAAAATAAAAGTGAAAAAATTACAAACATTACGTCTAACTCATTTCTTGCATTTTCTAACATTCTTCTCCACTTTGTAAATTCACAGTAACAACTAGATAATTTTTCAAGGTTTAAACTGTACTGTTTTATAAAATTCTCAAATAAACAAATACTTTTTTTAAGCTTGCTGACCTAGAACAAAACTGTATTCATCTTTCTGTCAATTTTATACACAAAGTAAATTTTAGTAACTCATGTATTTTTAATTGTTTCGTGAAAAACACTAGATTCAACTAAGCTATAACAATTATGTGGCTCATTTTAACAATTTTCTGTGCTTCCTTTTCATTATTCTCTTTTTATTCTACACTTAATGTTGATTAAATTAGAGTGACTTCCAACAGTCCCTTTACTAAAAGAAAAATTAAAAACAAGAGGCAAACAGAAAGAGAAACATATATCGTACTAAAGAAAGTTTAAAGAAATTACAACTGAAAAACATAGGTTTTTCAATATGCTTTAGAGATAAGCATCAAATTGTTTTGGATTATCTTGTTTAAACAGCAACATTAAAGAAAGTACAATTATATAAATATTATTAGATAATTTGTAAAACATTGGTCATCAGGGCTATTATATTATTATATAAATATTATTAGATAATTTGTCAAACATCGGTCATCAGGGCTATAAATGATACACGTTCAAACATTGTTTATTTAGAAGGAATATATCTGTGCATAAAACAATTGATCTAAAATTATGATTTTAATGTGCACAACAAAATAATTCACATTCCCTTTAATCTTAGTTAATTTTCAATGTAGTAAGTGATAATACTGCTAAATTTACAAGCACAAAAAATATTCTAATAATGCTTAAGGGATAACATGGTAAGACATAATAATATTTATTGTTGTACTTTATTTTTTAACTCATAAGCAAGTCACGTCACTCGCTTTTGTACTTTTTTTTATTACACTGTGTTATCAAACTTTTTAAACCACTATCACAGAGAGCCTAAGCCTGGCTTTGCCCTCACTTATTCAGTAAGCTCTTACAAGATAAATTATAATTTGGTTAAAAGAACACTACATGTGGATACAAGTGATTCTGATGAAGATTCTGCTTAAGTTCATTAGATATATAAAATTTAATTGTTTTTGACATGCCACAAAAGAAATAAACACACAAAACAACATTAAGTTACTTGTATTATAGAAAGTAAACCAGGATCCAACATTACTTCTTAAAAAAAAAATCCCACCCATCCAACAAGAAATCATACCAAATAACCTTTAATTAAAAAAAAATTACAATAGCCCACCTGTTTTTACTTAGTTTATAAAACAAATAGTTTTGAACTTTTAGTATTACTTCTATGTTATTCAAAAATAAAATTGACTGTGTAACTGCAATAATGTTTCTTATATATTTATTTATTTAATTCTAATAAGTTCCAGTTGATGAGCTTTTTTTGATCTTTTGATTAATTACACATAAATCATGTCACAAACCAAATGTTCCTAGTCAATTAAAAAACAGGATGTTTCCATTTCATGCTTAAGTTTAGGAAAAGTAAGAAAATTTGCAAAATTAAGAGTGGACATATATATCTCTTTACCATTAAAGTTAATATGCAAAAGAATAAACAATAAATTCAAAAATTAATATTCTATTATGAAATATACAGTCCACATTTTTAAGAAAATGTAATGTACACTGGTGAACCATAGTTGTAATATCAGGTTAGCTGAGTTTATAACAAGACATTTAAGTTCAGAAATACATTCAAATTTGATCTCATAGGTAAATAAATGATATTCTAGATCAGTGGTTCCCAACCTGGGGTCTACGAAGGTAATACTGGGGGTTCGTAAGCTATTTTCTTTAATTAAATAATGTACGGAAAGACACAGAATAATAGAAACGTAAAAATCTGAGACTGTTCTATAACTGTCACAATTCTTCTGGCTCTCTAAGTATGTGAGAAAAGTCGTTAAAAATTCAGCTAAGCTCCTCGATGCATTCTCGTTGGAAAGAATGTGGAACATAGTATCAATAAAGCAACATTAACCAGTTCATTAAACAAGTAATTTTTTTAATACTGCTGTTCTTTTAATTGCACACTCAGTTATATATGTCTTTTATTTGACAGTGAAATATGGAAAAACATGTTAATTATTAGTAATAAAAACAGCTTGTTGGGTAGACGGAATCTTTCAAAAACATGGGGTCTGTGGGGAAAAAATAAAACAAAAGGTGGTGAAAAGGTTGGGAACCACTGTTCTAGATATTCTTCAGAATTTACAGAAAAATTAAAAGCATGTAGATCAAACTACAAATTATAAGGTGACAAAAAACTTACCTTACTACATATTTTATGTGAACGTTTCTTGAAAAATAGTCCAAAAATAAAATGTTTGCCATATTATAGTTTTTAATCCATGTTTGGCTTATGAAAAATTTAGGCATGCTTTAAAAATGTAAAATTTCATAAAGTCACAGGTTACTAATGCAGTAACTCATAACAGCATGCAACCTGCAGTAACAGTGAATGCTGGCTTCTAACATACGTAATTTCAGGCAGCTAGAAAAGATTGCGTGACAATAAAATAACATTTTGTAACATAATGAAATTGTTTAAATGCAAATTTTTAAAGCATATGTAAACACATTTATTCTTCCTTTTTTTTGTCATACCTGTATTTTCTTTTTAATATAGGAGATCATGATTATTAGAACCCAATATGAGGGATATTATTGTGTCTCACAGCCATATTAAAAAGCCTAAAACTGTCAGACCTGGCACTTATCCATCTCTGAATAATTACAATATAAAAGTCACAAATGAGAATATATATCTCCAAAACATATTAATTATAGAGCTACCAAAACAACACAAGAATTCTTAAGCCTTTCATGATCTTGTCATTGGTTAAACATATACTGGGTCCTCTGTGATAGGTAATGAAAACAACACAACCTTGGTTTCAACATTTTTCAAACTGTATAGGATCAACAGCTGGCAGTGATAGGTGGTTTCTAAAAATACTGTTTTTCATCAAATTCTTTGACAGAAAGTCTAATTTCTCTAGTTTTGAGAATTAAAGAATATTTTTCTAAAAAGCAACATTAATCTTGCAAATAAAGCAATTTTTAAATAATATTTTATCAATTACAACATTGGTATGGAAATATCCAAGGAAAATTGGAAGCAGGTCTAAGTATAGTTTTATGTTGTATATTTCATTTCCCAGTATAAACAAAACAGGTAGAAAATCATACCAAAAATTTATTTTCATAGACTCCATATAAAATTTCAGAAGTCTGCTATCCAGCTAAAAATTATAGGTTTGAAATTCTCCAATAGTAATACTTTATAACCTTAAGATGAAGTGATAATGGTATTCGAAAAAATAAATATATAAAATTGCCTTAAAGTTTAACATGATTAGAACAACTATTCACAGTATGAAAGAGAAAACTTTAGTAACTGACTTGCTGTCCAAAACATAGATAACCAATATAAAATTTTTTGGACCCAATACAATCAATTGACTGAATGAAATTCTATCAAACATTTCAGTACTAATAAAAATGACACTACCTGTTAACTTAGTATTTTTTTAATAATCTTCTTTTGAGAATGGAAACAGTAGATTTTTAAGATAAACAAAATTGTGATGAAAAGTAACAAAGCAGAGGTAAAAATTCATTATCTTACTCCAAAACCACCATTGATAAGTTATGCACAAACTAAAGAAAGCCTATTATTAGAGATTTGGATTTGAAATATGTTTTATCATATACCATAATTAGGTTACGGCACCCAATCGACAAATGGAAGTAAACTTGGTCACTATAAGTTATTGTCATTATTCTTGATGCATATAGATGGAATATGTTTTGGTACATATGTTGATCTATGATTTTTATATGATATATACATTAAAATCATCTATAAGAGAACAGATGTGTTTGTAAACTGTTGTGTACAGTTCTGAAGTTTCTAATACAATATACTACTTGAAACTCGTTTTCCCAAAGTAGGACCTTGTAATCCCTCCCTATCATAAAATTGAATTAAACAGCAATAAAAGTAATCCAAGACATATCAAATAAGATAAATAAAAACAAGGAGGACATTAAACTTCAACTTTTTACACTGTAATAAGACAATCAAGATCAAGATGTCTTTGTGATTTACTGATCAGAAGTATAATTTTCCAGTTTGAAGCCAAGCCAAAGCCTGATAATATCTAAAGTTGTTTTACCTAGTTGTGGACGGTTGTCCAGTGATATCAGATGCTGCTGTTGTTGGCATGTCACCTGAAGTGGACTGTGTAACTGTAGGCTTTGGAGGGGGAGGAATAACTCCTGAGCCTTGACCTACAAAAGAAATATAGGATGAAAGCTGGGAGTGAAAAGGACAAAAAAATAGAACTGGTAAAGAAATATATCTTAAGATGATGTACTAACAACAGAAATGATGTCAAAGAACATCTAAAACAGACAGAAGTGAAGGTGCAATGGGTCATAAATGCAATTAGGAGTGCTTTAAAAATAAAACATGGGATGAGAAAAAACTATATGAATGCTTGGTTAAGTCAATCATTGACTATGGATTTGAAATATTAGGTTAGAAAGAATTCAGGGTAAATATAGGAACTGGACTATTAGATTAGAAATACAAATGTCTCAAAGTTTTATTTAATGTCAAGAAATACACCTCCTTAGATATGGTATATGAAGTTTGTAAAGCTGGATATGGCAGTTAGTAACATAAGGAAAATATTTAACTAAACAGAAGAAATATTACAAATGAAAGAAATGACTAAAGCAATGTCTTACGGAAATTTCAAAAAAAAATAATCTTAAACACGAAGTAAAATAGATGCAGGCAAGAAAAGAAATACACATCTGATGAAGTTTGAAGTTCCAAAGTCTATTTAATGCTAACACAACTAGAACAAGTTGAAAAAAATATTTAAAAAAACAACAGAAGGAAGCACTTATAAAAAAAGATAAACCAAATATACAGCAAAATTGCAGAAGAATAGAAAAACTATACTTAGTGTGATTATTATAAGTATATCAAAGAAGAGAAAGAACACGAATATATCAAAGATAAAGAAAGCTGAAAGAAAGAGAATTGACGACCAAATTAAGGTGCAGTAACTTCACATAATAAAAGAAAAAATGAATTCAAGGAAGGCGACAGAAAATGTAAACAGAAGGAAAAAAACATAATGCATATGTACTTTGTATTTATGACAAAGCTACTAATAATAACTTGTCACTTTCCCTAACTTCAAACTACTGATGAGAGAGAAGGCAGCCAGTTAGTAGCACTCTGTCACTCAGTCTAAGTGATTGATTATTACTGTTATTATGCAGCCAGTTAGTAGCACTCTGTCACTCAGTCTAAGTGATTGATTATTACTGTTATTATGCATCCACAGTGTGAAGGAAGGGAATATTTTTTGGTATTGCATGGAATTGAACCCAGCTCACTAGTACTAAAATCTAGAGCTCTACCACAGGGCCAACCTGCACCCAATAATAAAGCATATTTGGAGTTGAAAGGCAACAAGGCAAAAAGTGAAACTAAACAAGAGTTTAATAGTTAACAACAGAACAAAATATAGAAATAATTGGATTTGGAGAATAAGAATAGACATCAAGAATAAACAAGAAAATTATTACAGTTTGATTTATTTTAATAAATATCTGAAAATTAAGTAAATAATTTAGTATATTTTGTTTTAAAATAGAAAAGAAGATGCAGAAAATTTAATACAGTAAATAATATACACCTGGAAAAAAGTTAAGCACCCCCGTGTTTTTTTCAAGTGATTCAGATTCGACGTTCTTGTGACTGATTATAAATTACCATTCAATCTAAACGTGTTTATCAAATGAAATTATGCATTATTGGGCACAAGAAAACAAGATTAT